TGTGCTAGTAATATAGCATTGTCTCTAAGGGAAAATGGTAGCTACCATCTTAAGAGGTTTAAAAAAACCTGCTTGTTTCTTCACATTAAAAAAAATTTTTTTTTAACGTTTTTTCATTTTTGAGAGACAGAGTGTGAACGGGGGGGTGGGGGGGAGCAGAGAGAGAGGGAGACAAAGAATCTGAAGAAGGCTACAGGATCTGAGCTGTCAGCACAGAGCCCATGTGGGGCTTGAACTCAGAATGGCCAGATCATGACCTGAGCCAAAGTCGGACGCTTAACTGACCAGGCGCCCCTCTTCACATTTTTTTAAGTACAAATTCTTTTAGAATGGAGTGCTTCAGTAGCATTTTAATCTATGTACTCCCAAGTGATGTGACTATAGATTTATTCATCCCCACTTCCTTTCTGTTGGCTTCCAAGAGTTTTTTTAAAGGGAGAAAACATTTTTCCATTAAGTTATTGATGTTAAAATGTTCTAAGAATTGGATGAATTTTTCAAAACCTCTTATTTTTTATTTGAAGAGTCAGAAAGGCAGTAAAAGGTTTTAGTGTAAAAAAAAATAAAGCCATAATTCACTGATACTTTTATTTGGGTTCCTTGTTTATCATAATAATTTATAATGGTGAAGATAGGTTTAAATGAGTTGTTATGTATAAGCACTTATAATAGTGCTTAGCACATGGTAATCTCTGTTAGTGGTAATTCTTTTACTGTTGCTGTTAAGACACTTGGTCTCAGGATGAGAAGTATTTTTTAAGCATAAAACCAGAAGATTAAGTCACACAGAAGAGGACAGTAAAAGTACTGGCTGCTTTAAACAAACAAAAAACCAGGCCCCCTTTTGCACATAAAGACGATTGGGAAGGTGTTTTCATAAGTTTTCTCTCAGTGGTGGGTTTATAAGTGATTCATAGACTTTACTCTCCCTTTCCTCTCCTTTTTTTTTTTTTTTGATTGTTCATTTTACTTTTAAAAAATGTTTATTTATTTTGAGAGAGAGAGAGGAGAGAGAGAATCCCAAGCAGGCTCCGCACTGTCAGCATAGAGTCCAACGCAGGGCTTGATCTCACAAACTGTGAGATCATAACTTGAGCAGAAATCAAAAGTCAGACACTTAACTGACTGAACCATTCAGGTGCCCCCCCCCCTTCCACTTCTTGTAACAAACATAATTACTCTTACAGTTGGGGAAATTAAAGTAATAATATACAAAAAGAGGATAAATATACCCAAATTCAGTGAGACTGTTGGGAAAGTGACACTTAGTGTTGGTGGTATAAGTGACTCAGTATTTCAGGAGGGCAATTTGACAGGTATCAAAGCCTGGAAAGGGTTCAGACTCTTTGACCTAGTGATTTTACTTCTAGGACTATATTTTTAGGAAATGATCAGAAATGTCAGAAAAGGTGCAATAATATTCATTATTTATGGTATAGCTTACTTATAACAGGAAAATGAAATTCATATTATGTATAAAGCTGCATAATTGAATTTGAACTCTATCCAATGGGTATGTTGATATCATTTTGACACACTTTATATTAGTAGCATTAATATGCATTCGGAAGTTAATTGGTTAAAAGTGAGCTGAGTATTTATAGATCTAATCCTAGGAATTTTGTTCTAAAATATGCCATCTTTATGTAGTTATATTAATATTTTTAGAAAAAACATTTTCTAGAAATTTGATGTTTTTAATATAGCTATCATGTTATTTTCATGTTCGTGTAATATCTATCACTAAGTATTTTCTGTCTGTACAAGGAGGTAATGTGAAATGAGCCTGCGTCTAGGCTGAGTTACAAGCAGTTGTATGTTTACTACAGAGTTGGCTTTGGTTGTTCTGGATTTTCCTTCAGTAATTTCAGATCTGAAGGTTGTAATCTAGCGTTAGATCTTAAAAAAAGTAATTGATCTCTTCAGAGCACTTACTGTGTGTCCGCTGTGTTGAAGCAGTGATTGCTGTTTCTTCCTTCTGTGTTCTCCATCTCCATTACTCAAGCCGAAAACTTGGGATTCTTAGTGCCTCTGATTTCCTCATTCTTGCCTTATGTTGTGTGGATCCAATTTTGACCAAATCCTGCCTGCCTCCAAAATATCTTAAATCTACCACTTTTTTCAACATAAGGGAACATTACCTTAATTTTTGTGTTTCAGTAAAATTTTGTAGTATCACCATAACTGTTTCCTTAGTCTCCTCAGTCCGTTTCTTTTTGTTTCTTTTTTAAAATGTTACGGAAGATAGGCATACATCACATTTAAGAAGTCCTGAATTTCCACCAGCCTCCACCCTTGAGCCCGATGCTTATCCAGTGCCTTAGCTATTTCTTCTTGCAGAAATTTAGGTCCAGTTTTCAAATAATATACCTAAATTTCTATTATTGATGATTTAAAAAATTTTTAACTTTATTTATTTTGAGAGAGAGACAACATGAATGGGGGAGGAACAGAGTGAGAGAAGGGAGAGAGAATCCCAAGCAGGCTCTGAGCTGCCAGTGCAGGGCCCGATGTGGGGCTCAAACCCATGAAGCTGTGAGATCATGACCTGAGCCGAAACCAAGAATCAGATGCTTAACTGACTGAGCCACCAAGGTGCCCCTGATAAATCATATTTAAAGTTTTAGATATGATTTGTTCTATAGAAAATGATCTCACACTTTTATATTGTTTCCCTTGACCTTTATACAGTTGTCTTCTTCCTCTTTATCGCGTATAGTTATGTCACAGTTTTGATGTGAATAAGTAAAGAGCCGTGATTACTTACTTAAATTTTGTTACTTACTGAAATTTTGTGTTCCTTGAGCTAATAACTTACGTAAGCTTTCTCTGCACTCATCACTGATTCTTCTGCCAGAAGTGAATATAGTGAATTATCTTCGCAGTGTGTTGAGACACTTCCGTGTTGTTTCATCTTTGAGAGCCGTCTCTCTTGGAGTCTCTGACCTCTTGCTTAGTTACTGTCTGGACTGTTGTTCTGAAGCTCTGCTCACAGCCATGCACACAGTCATTCTCTCTCTATAAATAAAATTTTAAAATTGGGGAGGGGTAAATTATTTTTCTCTATTTACTCTGTTCTCTCTTATTCCTGCAGTTGGGGCGCCTCGATGGCTCAGTTGGTTAAGCGTCTCACTTCAGCTCAGCTCATGATCTTGCAGTTTGTGCGTTCAAGCCCCATGTAGGGCTCTGTGCTGACAGCTCAGAGCCTGGAGCCTGCTTTGGATTCTGTGTCTCTTTCTGTCTCTGCCCCTCCCCTGCTTGCACTGTCTCTCTCTAAAATAAAGAAACATTAGAAAATTATAAAATTCCTGTTATTATTTAGACATTGACTGGTATGGACTCTCTTAATGGACATAATATTTGTACTCCTGTTTTGAGCTTATTTTATCTCATAACTCTTAACGGTGATTTTTAAAATCTCCCTTATTGTGTTTCCAAAGGCTGTGTTTTGTTCTCTGAACAAATCCTAATGGGAGCAATACCTATTCTCATCTCTCTGAGAGTAATAAATATGGTTTTGTCTTTTCTTCTCTCAGTTTTTTTGGTTCCCTTTCCTAACTCAATTTCCTCAGAGTCCTTTTTCTTTTTTCCTATAGATTTTATCTCTTCCTAGTGGTGGTTATTGGTATTTTAGCAGGATTCTTAACCTGTTTTGAACCTTGGACTCCCTTGGCACCTGAATGAAGCCTATGGAGCTGAACCCTTCTTTAAAAACAAAGGAAATCAATTTTATTAAAATACACTTCTTACATTATTTTGTAAAACTGTCACATAGCAATATATATGTGCTTTTTTATTAACATTAAGTAAGATCCAGAGATGACGAGCTCATAATACCAAACTAGTGATGAGTATAAATGATACTTTTGAGCTGTCTGTATCTGAAAATGAAAATATCCGTGATTTTCATCAGTGGTAAAGTCACATGCATTGCCAATTCTTTTGTGATCTGTACTCTACATTTATGATAAAAAGGAATGTCATGTCAGAGATTAGTATAACATAAATATTTAATTTTTTAAGTTTATCAAGCCCTTTGTCAAGAGCCCTTTTATTAGAGGTTTCATGTTATGTCTGGGGTTTTCATGTTATGACAGCGATTGGCTGTCAGCTCAAAGAGTAAGGTATTGGAAAGCTGACTGGAAGCTCTGAGTAACCGAGTAGGAATGGGGCTTGACAGCTAGTGGGGTTCACTGTATGTTATAAGAAGCTCATCTCTCGTTGTCTGGAAGTCCTTCCTCTTGACATTCAAATGTCCTCAGAAGGAGAATCCACCAGTCTCCCTGTGGTGTGTAGGTTTAGTTACCTATGTTCTCATAGACAGGTAATTTTGCCCTTTTATGTTTTTGTTTTCTGTTTTTTGTTTTTAATTTCTTTTATTTTTTTAATTTAATTTAATTTAATTTAATTTTATTTATTTCTAGGAGAGAGAAAGACAGCATGAGCAGGGGAGGGTCAGAGAGAGAGGGAGTCACAGACTCTGAAACAGGCTCCAGGCTCTGAACTGGCAGTCAGCCCAGAGCCCGACGCGGAGCTCAAACCCACGAACCGCGAGATCGTGACCTAAGCGAAAGTCGGACACTTAACCGACTAAGCCACCCAGGCGCCCCTGTTTTTAATTTATTTCTGAGAAAGAGAGAGGCAGCATGAACAGAGGAGGGTCAGAGAGAGGGAGGTACAGAATCTGAAACAGGCTCCAGGCTCTGAGCTAGCTGTCAGCACAGAGCCTGACACGGGGCTCGAACCCACGAACCGTGAGATCATGACCTGAGCCGAAGTCGGACGCTTAACTGACTGAGCCACCCAGGCGCCCCTTGACCTCTTAGATCCTACTAGTAAAATTTGCTTTTATGATTTAACTGAACGGTTACAGTATTGGATATGTTTCTTTGAGTAAAATGGTTCTAGGAGGGGACATAAGTGTCTTTAATGTTTTGAAACCCTTAATATAATAAGAAAACTGGGCTATTTCATGAACTTACTTTTAACCTATTTTTCAGGAGCTTTCAAGTTGTGGATGGAATAAAAAAGAAAAATATAGTTCTGCACCAAATGCCGTTGCCTTCACAAGGAGATTTAATCACGTGAGTTGCCTATAAAACTTTGATATTTAGTTTCTGAAATTCAGTTCCTCAATCTATAATTTTTCATTAAGAAGTAGTTTAGCCTTTCACATCTTTGCTGGGATGTTTTCAGCCAGTATCCCTTTAAATACTGTCTCCCTGCATGATCTCTAGGTTTTTCCTTGTGTAATTTCTGTTGGAAATTTGTTGGGACTTGACCTTTTTTTCTTGCTTCTTAACCTTTCATATTTTATATCTGTTTCTTTGTGTTCCATTCTGCATGGTCCTCAGTACTATATTTTAATCCACTAATTCTTTTCAGATGGGTCATTTCTATTTCAAGTCTGTGTATGCTTTTACACTGGATTCATTTTTCTATGTTTCTTAAATAATTTTCATCATTTTATTTTATAATTTCTGTTACTATCCAGTTTTTGGAGTACTAATTCTCTGTTATTTCTGCTAATCTTTACTCAAAATGGTTTGTGTTTTTAGGCATTTTCTAATTTTGGATTAAGCGCTCATCATTTAAACTTTATCTGTACTTTGTGGGAATTCTCCTGCCACCCAGACTGAGGGTATATCTCTTCTGAAAAACTTTTGTTTGCTTTTTCTGGTACTAAGGACTATACTGACTTAGGACAGTTTTTTATATGTTTTGGTTGGGAACATCCATACATTGCTGTAGTGGAAATTTCAACTCCAAATCCAACTAAGGGCTGTTTACAAATTCTTATGAAAGACTTATTTTTCAGGACACCTGGGTGGCTCATTTGGTTAAGCATCTGACTCTTGATTTAGGCTCAGGTCATGATCTCACAATTCAGGAGATGGAACCCCGTGTTGGGCTCTGCGCTGACTGTGTGGAGCCTGCTTGGGATTCTCTCTCTCCCTCTCTCTCTCTCTATCCCCCTCCCTCTCTCTCTCTCTTTCTCTCTCTCTCCTCCACCCTCTCTCTCTCCCTTTCTCTCTCTCTCACTCTCCCACTTCTGTGCACCCCCTATTCTCAAAATAAATACACATTTTTTAAAAGGACTTATTTTTCTCCATCTCCTCTGTCTTCGACTGCCGGGAAGGGATAGTTTTAGTCTACATTTTCAACAAGACTGTAGCCCTTTGAAGATCCCCGAGCTAGACATAGAGGTTGTAGAGTAGAGGCGGGGGCCTTGTACTTGAAAGACTATTAAATCCCAAGCCCCTATGTCACTGAGAGAAAATCCTCTGTGAGCAGCTATAGGGCTCTTTCATGTAATCACTGCTTTGCCTTTATTTCCCTCTTTGTTTTGGCCTCTAGGGGAAGAAATCCTTCCTTTAAAATTAGCCACACATTGTTTTAAAAAAGAGCTTGTTGTCTTTAACCCAACATTTCTAGTTTACAGCAAGTAGTTTCTCAGGATTTGCTTCACTGTATTTCCCCAAATGGAAGTAAATCAGAGTTTTAAAAAATTAGATTAAACTATTATTAGGGACACAGGGCAAACATGTCTTACGCTGAAATTCATATTTAAGTTATATAGAAGTTGTCTGCACAATTTTTAGGAGTTGGAATTTTATCACAGTAAAATTTTTTTCTTTCCCATGCAAAAATATTCACAAATTCGACTTTACATTTTAAGTAAAATTTTAAGCAGTAATATTATTCTTAAGCCAAAAAGTTGTCAGAGTCAAATATGTCACGTTGTACCAAAAGCTCTTATCCTTATTCCAGATCATAATTGATCCTTTAATCTCACTTAATGGCTCCATTACTCTATTCAATTCTCCCAGTAAGGTCATAGGAGATTTGAAATAGCAAATTTTGAAAGAAGTTAGACTCTTTTAGAGGGAACCTATGTGCAACATTATTTTTAAAATGAGTTTTTGCGGGGCACCTGGGTGGCTCGATTGGTTAAGCGTCCAACTTCGGTTCAGGTCATAATCTCATGGTTTGTGAGTTCGAACCCTGTGTTGGGCTCTGTGCTGGCAGCTCAGAGCCTGGAGCCTGCTTCGGGTTCTGTGTCTCCTTCTCTCTCTGCCCCTCTCCCACTGGTGCTCTGTCTCTCTCGGTCTCTCAAAAATGAATATACAGGGGCTCCTGGGTGGCTCAGTTGGTTAAGCATCCGACTTCGGCTCAGGTCAGATCTCATGGTTCATGGGTTCGAGCCCCGCATCAGGCTCTGTCCTGACAGCTCAGAGCCTGGAGCCTGTTTCAGATTCTGTGTCTTCCTCTCTCTCTGCCCCTCCCCCGCTCATGCTCTGTCTCTCTCTGTCTCAAAAATAAATAAACTATAAAAAATTTAAAAAAAAAATGAATATACATTAAAAATTTTTTTTAAATGATTTTTTTGTAGACAACATATTGTTGGGTCTTCCTTTTTTTTATTTTTGTTTAGGAATTCTAATATATGTAGATTTATATAGGTATAATCTAAATTCAGTTTCATCACCCTAAATATTTCTTGTGCTGTACCCTTGTAGTCACACCCACTCTCTATCCCTAACCATTGGTGACCAGTGAGCTGCTTTCCATCACTATATTTGCCTTCTTCTGATTTTTATATAAATAGAGTTGTATAGTACATACCCTTTTGAAACTGATCTTTTCACCCTCTCAAAGCGTGATGTCTTTGAGATTTATTCTTGTTGCTTGCATCAGTAATTCCTTCTATTGCTGTGTAGTATTCCATTTACATCCATTTGAATTTGATAGGTGGTAGTTTTTCTTTTTTTTAAATTTTCCTTAAATATATATTAAAAGCATCAAATTGTTTCATAAAATACATCATTAGTATCTTAGCAACAGAAGTAGATTATAATTATTCTAATTTTTACTCAATTTTATTCTCTATATTTTCTCAAAAATATCCTCAGTTGTACTTTACAATAGTCCTGTGAGGCAGACATATAAGTTAATATTAAGAACGCAAGGTTTATTTTGTTTTGGGAGGGTTTGTTTTTCAGATTTTTATTTAAATTCTAGTTAGTTAACATACCTTTCTTTTTTGTAGTTCAGTCTGAATCTCTGCTTTTCAGTTTAGACTTAGGATGCAAAGATAGTTCAGTTTCCATGTTCTTATATCCCATATAAGCTCCCCCTGTGCTAACCTCTTACATATGTATGGTTCTAAGAGCCAGGAAACCAGGCTTGGTATAGGACGGACTAAGCTAAGGACATCATTCAGTTTCCCCAGTTTTCTCACTAATATCCTTTTTGTTGTTGTTACAAGAGACTTTTGGATCCCACATTGCATTTAGTTGTCACTAATTCTCATAAAAGATTATCTTGGGGTGTGCTTTTGTCCTTTCAGTGCTTTTCCTCTTAACTCTGTCACGTTTTCTGTTCCTTTGCATGTATGGTAATTTTTAAAATTATATAGTCAACTTTATGGATGATACATAATAGTGATTCTGGATTCTGTTGTCCTCTTTTTTTTTTTTTTTTTTTAATTTTTGTTTACTTTCCAGTTAGTTAACTAACGTACAGTGTAATACTAGTTTCAGGTATACAATTTAGTGATTCAACACTTCCATCCATCACCGGTGCTCATCACAAGTGCCCTTCTTAATCCTTGTCACCTATTTAACCCATTCCCCCTCCACCTCCTCTCCAGTAACCACCACTTTGTTTTCTATAGTTAAGAATCTGTTTCTTGGTTTGCCTCTCTTTCTCATTTTTCCCTTTGCTCCTTTACTTTTTTCTTAAATTCCACATATGGTGTTTATCTCTGACTGACTTATTTATGTCTTTTCTTCAATGATATTCATTTTTTTGCATGTTTAAAATCTTAATACACGTTAATTAACATACAGTATAATAATGGTTTTGTTTTCCTTTTTTGAAGCGTGATTTTTATTTTTATTTAACTTCACTGGACTAAAACTCCAAATTCTGCCCCTCCTTGGAGAACAGATAATTTCCTTTTGGTTTTGTTTTCAGTTAGGCTTCTTAGAGTTTCCCTTGTACACGTACAGTTCCAAGGTCAGCCGGAGAGTTGGATGGCATTTTTACTTAGATTTGGGGGATCTCCTTCTTATCTTTCCTTCCTTTCTAGAATTTCTCCCCTCACTTTCTAGCCAGTTGACTTCTGACTTTTGAAACTAAGACTACATATGGCCTTCTGCTTGAATTTTAGCTGCCCACATTGTGGTAACTAGAAAGTGTCCTCAGTGAACCAAGTGCAAATCTCATCCAGTGCATCTTTCAACAATCAGTTCCCCAGTTTCTGCTTTATTTTTATCCGTCTCTTGAACGTTTAAATAATTGCTCTTATAATTTGGAATTAAAATCAGATGAGCACTTGCAAAGATACCAGCTATTCCGCATTACCAGAAATGGAGTTCTCCCCCATCCCTTTAAAAACTATGCTTTCCATTGATTATCAAAATAACAACAGGTATTGCAGAGAAATTGAAAAGATGTAGAAATGTATTAAAAAGCTGAGGGGAGAACAATTACCTAGACGTGACTGTTAACATTTAAGCATATATCCTTTTTTCCATTCTTTATTTTTTCTTAATTTAATAGAAATCATGTTGTACCTACAAGTTATAGCCTTACTGTCATAGCATACCGTTAAATCCTCCTATATCAATTTATATGTTGAAAACATTTTTAGTATCTCTATGATCTCCTGTGATTGAACTATGTCATACTTTTAATAACCACTCTGTATTAGATATTTCTCTGATAACCTGGAGGCATGCCTTCTAGCCAGTGGGTGCTTATTTTTTTGTTTTCTTTTTTATTGGCAAAAGGCTGTTTAAATTTGTTTCAGACTTTATGTTTAGATAATTGGAAATATGACTGATAATTAGAGGTCACTGCTTTTAAGAATGCTCATGATATGAGAGACTCTTGAATGCTGACAAAAACTGAGGACTGATGGATGTGGGGGGGAGGGGGGGATGGGCATGAAGGAGGGCACTTTGGGGATGAGCACTGAGTGTTATGTAGAAACTAATTTGACAATAAACTTTGTAAAAAAAAAATAATAAAAAAATAAAAATAAGAACAAATGTGTTCAAGCTGCATTGAAAAAAAA